AAAATTGTCATTCAAACACATTTGTCGACATGTTATCGAACCGGAATCCATCTCAAATGATATCGGCATGATGGGTCCTGTCGAGATCTATCAGTTTGGTACCATAAACTAGTCTGAATATCTAGTTTTAGAGACAAGTTATCAGCCGGGCCGCTTGCTTCTATATAAAATCAACATATGAGATTTTTTGAATTTTCTGATTTTTCCAATTGTTTGAAAATTTCGAAAAATCCGACATTTTTTGAAAGTCTCATATTTTCTGGATTCGTAAAAAGTTTCTTTTTAACTCGAACAATCTGAAAATTTCGCTTATTTTCGAAAAATGTGGCTGAAAAATTCTAGTGAGGCAAATGTAAAAAATCGATAATTTTCTCTGAAAAACTGAAAAATTCGATAAATTCAAGCTAGAATTCAAGCTCAGCTTTTATATGAGCTTCAAATTTCAGCGAAAAATCAAAAAAATCGATGATTTTCTCTGCAACTCCTGTGCTTTCTCAAATTTCTTCAGCTAAAAATATGGAAATGAAGCTCAGCTTTTATGTGAGCTTCAAATACCAGCGAAAATTCCAAAAAAAAAAACCAGAAAATTCTGCAAATTATGCACCTGGCACTCCATAATCGCAAATCAGAACGGGTGTGAAGAAGAACTCATTGATCGCAATGGAGGTAGCCAATCGAATAAACGGATAGCTCTTATTCCGACAGTATTCGTTCAATTCGCTATCCTCCAACTCGTTGATAAACACTCGAATCACTGATCTTTCACGGTCCGGCAGGCGGAAAAACGTCTTACGGACCCAGAACGTCGTGAGACCCATCGATTTTTGATGATCGTCTTTTAGAACGACCATTTGGACTTCCGCATTCTCATCGCGTGGTTTTTTCGCGTCTCGCATCATTTCCGTTAGAATGTATTGTCTGAAAATTGACTTTTTTAGTTCAATTTTTGCTCCAGGACGTTTCGTAGCGGGTTTCTCACCTTTTTTCACCTATATTTAAACTTTTTTTTCTTGAAATTTTTGGTTCAAAATTTCGAATTTGTTGAAAAATTGAAGAAGTTTCAGAAAAACAAAAAAAAAATTCTCAGAACAAATTGAATTTTTGTTAAAAAATTTGAAAAAATTCGTTTGTTGAAAATCTCAGAAATTCAGGAATTTTACGAAATTTTCAGAAAAAAAAATCGAAAAATCAAAAATTTATGAAATTTTTTTTAAAAAATCAAAAATTCGGGAAATTTCTCCTCCGAATTTTGACTAATTTTTCAAAAGTTTGTAAAATTTCGGAACATCAAAAATTCAGAATTTTTATGAGATTTCAAATTTTCTCGAAATTTCAAGATTTTTCGCATTTCCCGTGTGAATGTTCAAAATTTTGAACGATTCATGAATTTCCGGAAACACCGAAATTGTTGGATTGCTATATTTCTTGGATTTTTTTAAATTCCAAAATTTCAATAAAAATTGGGCTCCAGAGCGTTTCGCATCGAAATTTTGCAAATTTACGGAAAGTGCGAAAAATCTTGAAATTTTGAAAAAATTGTAATCTTATGAAAATTCTGAATTTTTGAAATTCCGAAATTTTACACAAACTTTTGAAAAAATATCGTCCAATTCGGAGGAATCAAATTTTTTTCGATTTCTGATTTTTTTTTGAAATTTTCGTAAATTTTTTGATTTGTCGAATTTTTTCTGAAATTTCGTAAAATTCCCGAGACTTTCAACAAACGAATGTTTTCAACAAACGAATGTTTTTTTAAAAAATTCAATTTTTTCTGGAAAATTTTTTTCGCTTTTCTGAAATTTCTTCAATTTTTCAAAAAATTCGAAATTCGGAACCAAAAATTCAGGGTAAAAAACAAAAAATTCAAGAGAAAAAAGTCAAAAATAGCGGAAAAAAACATAGAAAAAATGATTTTTTTTCGAATTTTTCAAGCCAAGAATTCAAATTTATTAAAAAATCCGCGCACTTTGTGAGAAGCGCCTCTCGAATCGGCGCAATAACATCGTGAATATCCGGCAAATGAATCTCCTTCCGACACCCGATCGTCGTCACCATCCGCTCTAGAGGATGTCCAGCATGGAAGATCGTCACCGGCTTCAGTTCTTCGTATCTTCCCGAATTCGATAGGGATGGCAGGATGAGAAGGGCGAGAAGGAGCCACCTCATCTGGAAGCCTGAAAATGGAAAATTTTCTGAAAAATTGATTTTTTTTGGGGGGGGGGGAAGCTATAAAATCAAGGGGAAAAGTGGAAAATCGAATTTCCCGCTTCCTAAATTAAAGGCGCATGGAATTCCTGAGCCCGTTGGCTTCGCCACGAATTGAATTTTTGGACCGACAATTGGAATTTTCGCGCAGTTTCAGTCGGATTTTAAGCACAAAATGCAATTTTCAGGCCAAAAAAGACGATTTTCAATCGAAAGACTAGCGAAAATATCTGAAAATACGAATAAAAAGATTTTTTGGGCAAAAAACTGCTGAAAAATGCATTTTTTGAAGGAATTTGACCAAGATTTCGCACATTTTTATCGATTTTTCAATTTTTCGGCAATTTTCAGACAATTTTCAACAAAAAACTTTTGAAAAACGAGCGAGACGAGAAAAAAAAACGATGACAAAAGTTTGAAAATCTGGAATTCGCGCCTAGTTTAAAGGCGCATAGACTACTTGGCACCAGTGGGTTTCGCAACGAAAGCTTCGTTCCGCGCATTTTTGAGATTTTTTCGATTTATTTCGAGACCCCGGAAATTCCGGGGAAAAAAACTCCGGAGAAAAGTGGGCGGAGTCGGGGGAGGA